GACCGCGCCCGCCCGAGGGGGCGGCGCCGGCGATGGATAACCGCCGGCATAACGAGGCCATGATTTGAATAAATGTTTGTAAACAATAATCAACAATTCGATATAATCACGTGATCACAAACACAAACACGAACACGAACACGAACACGGGTTTGAGTCTGAGGAATCAATAGAACATGAACATCGTTTATTAGTAACGAATTTGAAGTTTGTGCGTGCGACAACACGACCTTGCCTATGATTTAATTTAATTATTGCTACATCACATCAATGTTGCTCTTCCTTATAATATCAACCACAAATACTATTTCTACTTTTGCACCTTCCTTTAATCTATTTTTTATTTTTTTTATTTTTTTTATAATAATACTTTTTCCCTTTTCATCAGATGCTTCCATCTCCATTCAGTGTCGTAATCAACTTCAACACTCTAGTGGAGGAGGAGGAGGAGAAAGTGCCAAGATCTTTGTAATAAATGCAATTTTTTATTTTATTTTTTATTTTTTATTTTTTAAGGAGATTTCGTGAGTATTTTGTGTTCTTGAGAATTTTATATTCGAAGTCGTGGTTCATATACCATATTCTTTTGGCAATGGTTCGTTCTTCTTTTTTTCTTTGGGAAAGTGGTTTGTTCTTTTTAATTCCAACACTAGTGATTAATAGTTTATTACCAACAACTAATCATAGATTGTCACTAATCAAATTTTCTAATAAAAGTTAATTATCAAACAATAAAGTGAGTAAACACTTTACACCACTAATATAACATAACTAAAAAAATGCAAACACTTTTTTTGTATTTATCATTCACGGTTTGAATTGTGTTGAAAGATTATCATACCGATAGAAAGGGATTCCAATTTCAAATTGACTTCTTCACCGAGAGAATGCATGAACTCTATTCAAAGATAACTTGTTTTGTTCATTTGTTGAATGATTCCAAAGGGATGGTTATCGTTAACTGCCAAGTTGCAAAGAGTTGTCATTTCTTAATTATGCATCTTTTTTTATGAGTAAATGGTTTATACATTAATACTTTTCTATACAGTCATAAATTATGGTAAACTAAAATTAGGATAAATTATATATATATATATAGATAGATAGAGAGAGAGAAAATGTAATTAATCCTAATCTTAATATTTTAATTTGACTATAACCTATGGTGTGACATTTTGGCTGGACTTGATTATATGCACTTTGCAGCAGCTTCTTTTTTTCTCCTTTTCCCAAAAGTTGATCTCCTCCTTCTCCTATCAGACATAATAAGCATTTATTGACCCAATTTGTGAATTTAAATATGGAAATAAATGAAACAGAAAAATCAACTACAACTTCTCTTCATGAAATAAATTAATCTGTATAATCTCTTTATGGATTCTTTTCTTTTATTTTTAAAATATGGCACTACATGCGCACCAAAATTCTCCGATGATACAGGGAAAGCTTCTACTTGGTCAAAAAAAGGAAAAAAAAGATCTCTAAGCAAAGATATTTTTTTAACAAGGATTACAAGATACTTCACAGTATCTATTATATTTATATAATTAGTTCATAAAAAAATTATACAAGAAAGAGGTGGAATAAAGAGAGAAAAAAAAATTCTAACCATAGTGGAAGAAAAGATAAACTTAAACTTTCTACATTCATTTGTAGCAAGCATGTATTTTATGACTCGCTCTTGCAGTTCCTATAGCCAAAAATGACAGAATCAATTGAGCTGATAACAAAATAATAAATAGAAAGAACAATGACAAAGAAACACATGGACATCATTTGAAAATGGATCGATGTTTACATTAATCGAGATCGCCATGGGATGACAAAAATAAATTAAAAGTTAAGGAGTCGTCATCAATATTATCTTTTACGAAAAAATATTGAAAAAATCATATAATAAAAAATAATTTACGAAAATTAGATTTTGAGTTCGGGATCGATTACGTGTGAGGAAGATATTAGCACCTTACAATATTTGTCTTAAAACGATTACCTTTAATTAATTAAACAAACTATTTATAAAATATTTATTTCACCCTAGATTAATTAACATTAAACGAATGTATTTTATTTAACTAATTCATTAAAAGGTTAAAATTATTATTGTTATATAAAAAGGAAGATAATATATTTTTATTTTTTTGGCTCGACAAGATTTATTTCTTATTCCTACGTATCTTCATATGTAATGAATAATCAGAGTCACGTAATTCTTTTGTAGAAAATATTTGTGTGTTGATATTTTTTTAATTAAATTTTATTTTTGTTAAATATAGGATTCTTGAACTGTCCCAGCTCATTCACCCTAAAAATATAAAATTGACTAAGGTGTACACCAAAGTCAATTCAATAAAATTTTAATTATAATTATTGCTATAGATGTTATCTTAAAAGATTTTTTGGTTGGACATCTTGTTTTTGGAGAAAAAATTTAAAGATATCAAGTTATCACAACTTGTATTTTAAATTCAAAAGTTAAAAAGATGTCACATCTAATTAACCATTCCTCCAATAAAATTTTGATACAATACTTCAAATATTTATATTGAATATTCTAACACTATATTTTGATACTTAATCATATTTTGAATTTAAATAAGACTTTAAGATGACAAATAATCTTTTTTAAAATGACAGATATTACTAATATAAAAAAAATAAAAAGAAGTGAGTTCAATATACTCACTATTCTTCGCTCAAGAAGTGGTAACTTACTGGCCTCTTCCTCTGGGTTCTCTCTGGTCTTCAGAGAGTGTAGAAGAAGAAGAAGTCCAAAGTGGAGATGTGTCTGAAGTCCTTTGAGAAGGCCAAGGCACTGCTATTTATAGACTTTCAGGAGTAATCGGAATAGCCCGTTCTGGCGTTGCATCTTTACTCACAATGGCCATATTTGGAACGACCCATTCCAAGCTAAAATTTATAGGTCTTTTTGGAAGGTTAGAACGTCCTGTTCCAGTTTGGGAACGGCCCGTTCTAGACTAAAAATTATAGGTCTTTTTGGAAGGTTGGAACTGTTCGTTCCAGTTTAGGAACGACTCATTCTAGGCTATAATTAATAGGTCCTTTTTATAGCTTAGAACAGCCCGTTCCAGTTTGGGAACGGTCCGTTCTGGGCTAGAATTAAATGGTCCTTTTTATAGCTTAGAACGACCTATTCTGGACTACTAAAATCACATGAAAATTACTAAATTACCCTCCACAAAAGTATGAAAATTGAAGTGTTACATTTGGCTTCCATATTTTTATCTTTTTTATTATTTCTTGTATATACCTTTTTTACTATTTTTTTTTAAAACAAAATTAATATTTTTCAGTGGGTTCCTACATCTATCATTTGCGAGAGTTTAGTCATCTTTACACCAGAATTTAAGACTTTTTAATTAAGGGATGAAATGATGGGTGAAAATGAAAGCATAAAATGAAGAGAAGTTATTTGGGTTTGGTAGGTGGTTGAAATGAATAAGCCGTTAGGTGACTCATCAATAAGTTGTATTATTTGGATAAACTTGGCTTATAGTATTTTTCTTTCATTGGCTTACACCGTACTTGGGGTGGATTTAGAAGGTATTTGAAAGGAAGAGATGGATTAGAGCTAATACAGAAAATACAATGGTGTTTGATATGATAGATTTGTAGGGAAATGTAGGT